TTATAAAGATTTTTTTTTAAAAAAAAGAATGCACTATTTTGAGTATGTTTTAGTTTGAAACAATTCAATAAATATGAAATTAGATTCTCTAATCAACGGTGGTTAGGTCTTGCTAAAAGGATGATTAATCTCTCCCAACATGAGAAACCAAAGTTTAAATTTTCATTGGAAAAGGTGTTCACATTTAATACTTAACCATGGCTCAAACAAGATTGCTTCTAATAAAATAACTTATGTGCTCTTTTTTTTTTAAAAAAAAATCAGATTCTTAAAATCATTTTTGCTTCTTCTTGTTTTTTGCCCTAATTATACTAGCTAGCATAACTTGTCACATGAAATTCAATATCTTATTTATTTTTTCCTCGGGAGTTTTCATTAAATTATTAATTTGTACTAGGTAGTTTATTTTACAATCAATTTATGGTAGCCTCTTTCCTAAGCTTCAATCTATGTTAACAGGTGGAAGAGATAATTTGAAGAAGCTTCCTCTATATGCTTACCCTGCAAAATATTTGAAGAACATAGTGGCCGGGGAGATACAGAATGGTAAAATAATTTAGAGTTGGAAAATCCAACCATTAAGTATTCATCCAAAGTTTAAAAAGGTAAACACATTTCTACCTTTAATTCTCCATGTTCTTTATGTTTTGCATTTTTTTTTATAAGTTTCTCCCAAAAATTTCATTCAGAGACTGAGGCAGCTGCATCTCTCAATGACTACAGTGCATAAACTTTTACATTAATTTTTTGCTTTATAGTTTTTCTTTCCATTTATTTGCTTTTCTGTTTTGAAGAGATAGAAGAAAATCATGCATTATTTCTCTAGAAATTGTAACGCACTTGCTCAACACGAAATTTGAAGCGATTGAGAGATTTCTAGCTTGGATTCTCCATCTTCTTTCTGGTTTGTATTTTTTTTTATATCTGAATTTACAGTAAGAAACTGAAGTAATTGTTTCCCTCCACTACAATGGTTATTTTTTTATTGATTATATATTTTTTTAATAAAAAATAAACAAAAGAACGCATTGTTTCCAAAAAAAAAAAGGAACAAAGGAACCAAAGAAAAAAAATTCTTGCATAACTTGTTAGTTGAAGTTCCATGTCTTGTTCATTTTTCCTCCGGACTTTCGTTCTCTTGTTATGTTTCTATTAAATGGTGAATTTTATTATCCATTTATGGTATCCTTTTTAATTTGTTAAAATTTTTTAGACTGATTGAATATTTCCTTTTCCTGTCTCCATTGCAGTTGCAGTAGTAGTTATATAGATGTAGTGCTTTCCAACATGAGAATTGATGCAGAATTCCATTTGGACGTCATATATGTAAGTGTAGAAGCATCTACTTTTTTTTATAGACATTATATTATTCATAGGATCATGAATTAATAGTAGAACTTATATTGGTCATATTTCATATAATTGAACCATGAGATATAGAATGAGTTAAGCCACTGTCTTTTGAAATATGGGTTCCGCAATGACATTGAAATTTAAAATTAATGTTGTGCAGTTGTACAATGAAGTTAGTTCAACAATGTTTAAAAAAAATACAGAAAATGACAATTAGGAATCTCCATAAAAACATTAATGATAATTATAGATACTAAATTATCGAAATCACAATAATAGACCATGATCCTTACTTATATTGAAAAATGCAAATAGTCAGTTGCGAAACCAATAAAAAACACTTGGAATTATTTATAATGTTGGTTGAGAATTTGCAAGAGTAATTTGTGAATCTTAATGTTTTGTAGTCAATATACAAATAAACCACTTGGAAAATTAAAAAAAATACATTTGGGATTTTGTAATATTAAAAATTTATAATTTAATTTGAGAGATTGAGTTGTAATATTTGGAGTTTGGCACTTGAGACCTAACTTGAATTAATTAATTTTTTTGGGACCTCTTTGTCATTCTTTCATTCTTGAGTATAGTTATGTGATAGCCTTTCCTCTACCACTGACAAAACAATGCTTCTTGCTCTCCTTGCCTTGTTCGCGGAGGATCAACGCCTTTTTGTTCACGATCTGGTTTTGTTGTCGTAGGAGAGGGTTTACTTGACGAGTATGATGGCATAGATGATGCCTATAATCATGATCACCAATTCTGCTAGGTAAGAATTACAGAAAATATTGGGGAAAACTGATGTTCAAATGAAAATATTCACAAGCCAAAAGCTTAAAGCCACATGAAAGTTCAGCTAGGACAATTACAACTCAAATATGAAACATCAACAACTAAATACAAGAGGACAAGTAGAGCAGAAAGAATCAGAGAGAAGAGAGCAGACACAAGTGGGAGACAGCTTCCAAAATTCTTGGATAACTTTTTGCTGGCCCATTTGTGTTACTGCAAAGCCCAGAAGTCCATTTTCTGCCTCCATTATCACTATCGAGCCCATTCAAGATGCATGTCTTGTGGAAGATGAGGGGATGATCATATTAAGGTGTAATTCGAGACATGTCACTTTGGTTATCCATGATCAAGATCAAAACAAAAACAAAATCCTAGCTAGAGCAAGGTGAAACATTAAAATTATTACAAGATGATAATCTTGAAAATTTGAAGGTTGTCAAAAGGATCTCAATAATGGAGTACAATAGAGAGTCAAGGATTTGCGTTCTTCCTGTTTGCCCTCATCACAAACAATAGTATATGCATAAATAATTTGGAAAAAAAAAATATCCAATTCATGATAGAAATGAAAGTTTTGATTTTGAAGGAAATTAAGGGAATAGAATAACCACCCTTCCTTTAGAAATAGGTCAGTTGATTCATATAGAATATCTTTCCGATCAAGATGAATAACTTGAAGAAGTTGAAAGTCTTCATCCTACTAAGTCTTTGTCATGGTCTTGGAAGCATTCCTTTGGAAATTATATCTACTATTACAAAAAAAGTTTTTCACGTCATTTTTTTAAGGCATTTCACGTTCCTGTCATAGGGGATATAGATTCGGGTGACATAAAAAGTTGACTTATCCATATTATTTTTATGAGGGATGTGATTTTTGGAAAAACCACATCGCTTTTTTTAAAATAGGGAGGTGCCATTTTTTTTAAAAGTGATGTGGTTTTTTCTAAAACAAGATATTAAAATAATTTAAATTTAAATATCTACCATTCCCATTTCATCATTCCAATTAGTCATGGATTTCATAGATCTAAAAAATAAATAAAAGAAAAAATAAAACCATACCATAATTGATGAAGCAACCAAAGATAATGAAGAAGGCTTAAGCAAATGTTAGAAATAGATATCTACAAAGAAAAAGGGTTTGTGAGTGAAAGTAACACTAACCAACTATTGCTTGCTCAAGGGAAAGAGGAGGAGAAATTGTGAATCTCGACCGTGGGTCTCGAAGTTTTCTGTCGAATGGGGTAAAGAGGAGGAGACAAGGAGAAGAAGAGTTGTCTATCAAATGCCCACCGTTAAATGCTGGCCCTAGGTCTCGATTCAGTCTATCGGCCATAGATCTTAATGCTATGGGTCTCGATGCAATGGGAAGGAAAGAGAGAGTTGTTGTGTGGAGAAGAGGAGAGATCTACAATGGGGAGGAGAGGAGAGATGTGTTGCCATCAAAGGAAAGAGAGAGAGAAGAGCTAGGTTTTAAACATAGAATGAAGGACTAAAATCCACATCACTTTTTAGAAAATGATGTGAAAATTGTCTAGAAATAATTTATTTTCTATAATTCATGTTGCTTTTTTAAAAAAGCGATGTGGATAATTTATTCATGTCGCTTTTTAAGAAGGCAAAGTGAAAAATATTTAAAAATTAATAATTTAAAATAATTTATTTTGTACAATCCACATTGCTTTTTAAGAAAGTGACGTGAAAAATGTCCAAAATTAATAATTTAAAATAATTTATTTTCTACCAAAAGCGACGTGGATAATTTATCCACATTGTTTTTTAAGAAAGTGACGTGATGAATTAAGGTTTAAATTTTCATTAGGAGAGGGTGCTCACATTTACTATTCAACTATACTTCAAATAGGATTGCCTTTAATGGGAGGATATCCATGAGCAATAAAAAAAATGTGACTAATAAAAATTAAATTTGAAAAACTAAGTCAATAGTTGAGATAAATTTGAGGGATTAAAAGTTGTATTATTCCTTTTTAATTTTTGTATAAATGTAATAATTATAATTATTTATTAAAGCAAGAGACTTTATCATGTGACCTTTCAACTATTATAAATAATTTGGAGATCTTTATATATATATATATATAGATATGTATATATATTCGCTTCCTTTTCTGTGTGTCGCTGAATATTGTATTGATCTATTTGTTATTGACAAACTTTATTGGTAGACTGATTATCAATAAATGTAGTGACATCTATGACGTTGTGAATCATTTTCCTTCAGCCTAAGTTGTGATCATGATAGTAATGTTAGTGTTATTGGCACTTCACTCATATTTGTTAATAGTGTCTCTGTGCATTTAGTTGATGTATGTTACTATGTCATTGGGCATTTTTCTTTTGGATAGTTTAGTAGTACGCTTTCACTTGTGTTTGCTTACATTTTTTACCCTTGCTTGCAGAGTATATGCCTGTAGGAAGTCTCTATGATTACTTGCATGAAAACCATATAATATGTTGGAGCTCTCTCAACTACTAAAGTTTTCGATTGATGTTTGCGGGTATGGAGAGTATTTGCTAAGAAACAATATAATTCACAAGGATCTGACACTACTACAAAATAAACTTAAGAGAACGCCCTTACCAAAACAAAGTAGAAAAACAAAAATTACCATTTTCTTACCCTTGTGATGGCTTGAGTTGTTATTTTTGGTTGGGCAAATTGGCAAGTGAAATGCAATGCCACATAAGCCTTTGTTGCCTCTTAATCTTTCCATTGTAGTCGTATGAAAGGATGAAATATTTGGAAGTGGACCTTCTAATTGATTTGTGATATATCAATTGAAATCAAGCTTTTCATATGATCAAAAGATGAAGGTATAGTACCAGAGAAATTATTATGTGAGAGGTTCAACATTACCAATTGTTGTAGCTCTCCAAGCATGGTTGGGATTTTTTCCAGTGAAAGAGTTTCCACTAAGATCAAGAAATTGAAGATGTTGCAGCTGGCTAAAGCTAGAAGGAAGGCTGTAGAACTTATTTTTACTTAAATTCAATGCCCATAACTTAATCAATTGACCAACTTTTTTTGGAATTGAACCACTTAAGTGGTTGTTAGCTAGACTCAACTGTTCAAGGTTCTTCAATGATATTAAATTAGGAGAAATGTTTCTTGAAAATTGATTGTTGCTCAACATAAGCTCACTCAATAATGACAATTGACTCAATTCTTTTGGAATCTTTCCTATCAATTGATTTGAAGACAAATCAAGTCTCTGTAACTTTGTTGCCTCGAGTAACTCCAATGGTATGCAACCTGATAAGTGATTATTGGATATCTTGAGGCTTGAAAGATTATGGCACTTACCCGAATTAGGTGACAAGTGGCCATAAAATGCATTGTTACTCAAATCAATGTAGTACAAGTCTGGGTATACACTAAAAGCATCAACTATATTTCCTGTGAATTGATTGCTTTCAAGTCTAACTCTTCTAAGGCCAGAGAAATTCTTCAAACTTCTAGGAGTTGGATCACTGAAATGATTTTGATTGGCACTAATATAAGCTAGTACCTCACCATGGCAAATGTCTTGAGGCAAATGACCTTTGAAATTATTGTTAGAAATTTGCAAGGATTGCAACTTGGTTAGGTTATTCATTTTTGATGGAAGATTGCCACTAAGTTTGTTGTGAAGCAAACATATTGTGGACAACTTTGTCATCTTGCCAATACTAGAAGGAATCGATCCAGAAGGATTGTTTTCACACAAAGCTAGCAACGTGAGTTTGGTCATGTTTCCAATACTTCAAGGAATAGATCCAGAAAGATGCTTCTCATGAAGAAGGAGGGTGTCTAGATTGGCTATATTCCATATGGAGGATGGGATTGATCTGGATATTTCATTTTTTAACAATTTCAATGTCACCATGGAGTAGAGTTTCCTTACTTCTCATGGAATGGACCCTGAAATTTGATTTAAATAAAGATAAAGATATTGTAAATTAGACATGTTTCCAATAGTACTTGGGATGCTACGAATGAGATTGTTTTTAGACATGTCAAGTTGAAGAAGTTCCTTCAACAATCCAATTTCACAGGGAATATAACCAATTAACTGATTATGTCCAAGAGTTTAGTACTAGAGATTTATCATCCTTTCAATTTGGGAAGGAATGTGGCCAGAAAGGAGATTGTTTCCTAGATGTAGTTAAGACAAGTTGGCCAAATTTTCTATACCTTCGGGGATATAGCCATTGAAATAATTGAAACCTTAGTCTAGAACAACAATATTCCTTGTCAATTGAGTTATCAAAGATGAAAGTGGTCTGGAGAGACTATTTGTTATGCAAAGAAAGTTGACAATGAGGACAAGTTGCCAATACTTGTTGGAATGCTACCAGTGAACTCATTATAGGAAAAATTTATAATGTTAAGTTTGGACAGTTCACTAATCTGGGAAGTGATAATCCCATAAAATGAGTTCTGATGTATAGATATGAATCGAAGATTTGGGAAAGGTGAGAAATTGAGGTTATCAAGCATACTTCTTAATCCATGATTTTGAAGAGAAATATTGAAAATGGAGTTGAACTCATCACATGTAATTCCAACCCAATCGCAAGGATGACTAGTATTACCATTCCATGATGATAATAGAGCTTGGCTTTTGTTGTCAAGGCTGGCTTTCCACTTCAATAAAGCATTTGCTTCACTGTTTGGAGAACTTGTGGAACAGGAGACATGTGATGAAGAGAAAGTTATGGAGTAGATCATTAGGGCAACCCACCAAAGTGTTAACATTCCAGAAAACTGAGGTTCTCCTAATACGAATCCCAAAGCTATGAAGGGAATTTTGAACCAAATGAGGATGGCGTAAAAACAAAGGATGCTAGATGTAATACACACACACACACAAGTAAATGTGGTAACAATGATTTATTTTCTTACTTTCTATATTCCTAACCTACAAGGTAATTTATTTAACACATGTAAATTACCATTTGAATTGATGGAGCTAAATGACATTGACTGAAGAAAGCATGACCATTGTAAGTGTAAAGAATCCATGACTCTATATGTGAAATGTAGCTGATTGAGGAATTTTCTTCAAACGCGCAAGTCAGGCCAACTTGAGAAGTGAAGATTAAGAAACAAGCTTTGATATCTTTTTCAAAAAATAAAACAAGGGTAAGACTTTATAAAGATCCAAAATCAACCCAAGCATGGGAGAGAGGCGGGGTGGAGCATTTTAATTTGTAATTTGGTTCAGCAGTACAGCAAGTACTTGAATTATATGGTCTCATTTATTGTCAAGGGAGTCAGAATATCAAACACAGTTGGGAAAATATTACCATAGACTTTATGAGAAGAAAATCAGAATATATATTTATATAGGAGCGGGGTATAATTATATTCATCGCTGCTAATTTAGTCAATGCTAACGCTGAATTTGAACTTTGCTGCTTGTTCAGTAAATCGTTGGAATGTTTTTTAGTGAATCCGAAGCACTTTGTGTTGGATTTTGAAATAAAGTACTCTCTTTGGTCATAATTATATGAAGGGAATTTGGAATCAAATGAGGATGATTTAAACACAAGGGATGCTAGGTGCGCGCGCGCAAGTAAATGTGATAACAATTATTATTTTAATTGGTCTTTGTAGTTTCTCGCTTGAATAATAATAATAATAATAATAATAATAATAATAATAATAATAATAAGAGATAACATAATCATTGATCTTTATAGTTTCATCAGATTTTATCTTTAGTTTCTATACTTTTTTCAATGTTTTCAATCGTTATAATTTTTATTGAACCATATAATAGTCTAATTTATTGTATGGTTATAATTATAACCATCCAAAAAGGCCCATCATATATACCTGTTTTTGTGGTAGTAGATTATGTTTATTCTTCTAAACTCCAATGATATTAAATTACAGGAACAATAAGAATTAAAAACACTAAAAATAAATTATAAAAACTAAAAGCAAAATTAAATAAAACTATAGGATCAATTATTAAGGTTTCCCTAACAACAACAACAATAATAATTCACCAAATAGTAGTGCTAGTAGTAATTGAATCACGCTTATATCAAGTTGACTTTAAAGTGCCCAATACTACGTTCAACTCGCGTGCGGGGAAATTGACATTTTTCAATTTTGGTGGCCTATCAATGTGTACGTGACCCACCACTCCTCTTATAATTACTCACCTATTCAATTTCTCAAATTTGCATCTTAGAATATATGCATTAAGGCTTCCTCCCACTTGAGTAAGGAACTTTTCTTTCACACACCAAAAAAAAAAAAACAAGTGCATTGTTTATATGAATCTCATATTGAGGAGCCTAATGCATGTTTTAAAATAGACTCTCCCTTCATGTACTTGTACTCATAGCATTTTTACATTGTTCTTCACATTACTTATTAATTAAAAATTGAAAATGCTGGGACTAAATCTTATAAATTACTCCTCAGTTGTTTTATTATTAAAATGTATAAGGAACTAATTAAGGACATATGAGTAATGACTTCAGAATAAATTTAGGCGGTGATAGACATCTTAACTAACACATTTGCCACCAAAGACTTTTTTGTGTCAATGTTTTCTAAAGATACTTTAAAGGCGTGTTTGATCCATTAAGTGGCATTGAATAATGATGGAAAGAAAGTGTGAAGTGAAAACATAAAAATAGAGTGAGAGGGCGGGGGAAGTGATGATTGTTTTGTCCTGTAAATTTTTGCGCCATGGTTCCTTTCCCTTTTTGAAAAATAAGGTTACCACTTTTTATTTTGAGGGATAGAATTTTTTTTTTGGCCACCAATTTTGAGGGATAGTTAACCACTGGAAGTTTAATAAGTTCTTATTCATTATAAATTACTTCTATAAATAATGAGGAATCTCGTTTGACACAAAAAGGTTAGATTATATTTTGGGTCATTTATTATATTTGTATCTGAATATCTTCAATATAAGCAGAAATTCAATAAGGTATGAAGAAATTTGCAAGGATATATAAACTAAATAAGCATGAGAAGAAGATTCTACAGCATAGGATTTATCGTAGTTCAACTTTCTTTTAGAGCCTATAGTCTAGTTTATAAAAGCAAACCATTAGACATTTCTTGCTAAGAGTTCATATATTGACTTGGGAACTCACAAATAAAGTCTTGTAAATGTAAAGAATTATCCCTCCCAGTATGATGCTGATTTTTTTTTTTTCATTTGGAATGAGTTCGACCCGTATTCATGGTATTTGTATTTTTATTGAGAGACTGATATTAAGAAAAGAGCTATTCATAGAAAATTCTGACTAGCAATAAATCAAGTAAAGTGCTATGAAGTAGAGATCTCATAAACAATAGCAATCGAACATAAATATATTGTTATGAGTCTAATATTAAAAGTTTTCACAAGTAAATTGTGGTTTATAAGTGTAAGAAAATATTTTTTTAATAAACTATAGTCTTTTAAAGTTCTTCACGCATGATAGGTTCACTCTCCTGATCTCTTTTCCAAGATTCAAAAGATAAAGTAACTCATTTAAAAAAGTTTTTTGATTATGTGAAATTGAGTATTTGAAAAAAATATATAATTACATAAAATAAAAATATAATATTATAAAAATTAAAGTTAAACACTTTAAAATTTAAAGTGTTTTCCCAGAAAAAAGTCAATTTCACTAATAAGCAAACAAATTAATTTTTGAAAATTTAAAGTGTTGGAAAATAGAAAAGATGTGTATTTAAAAAATAAAGCAAAAGTATTGGAAAAAATTATATACAAAAAAATAGAAAATGAGTAATTATAAAGAGGAACCTTTTGGTCAAAAGAACAAAGTTAATTCCTATCAAGGACCTTAATTAGAAATGAAATTAGAGATTGAGTTTAGATTCAGTGCTCATATTTACGATGATTCAACTTTGAATTTTAAATTTTTTAAATTGAAGTGTTAATTAATGAATATAAATATTAAAAATATTATGTATTTCTTTTTATAAAATAGATAACAACGGAATAGATTAACATTAAAGATTATTATCTCAATTCTTATCGTTCATTAAATCGCTAGGCACCTAAACTTTTTTACTTAAAAAGAAAAAAAAAACGAAAGCAGATGTGGATTTGAAAGAAATTTAACCGTCAGACTACGATTTCATTGTGTGCTATCTCACAATTCACACGGCAACATTATGTCCGTTGTCATAGGGCTTTAGCATTATAATGATAAAGACCATTAACGATACACTTTTTGAATTCCTTTATGTGACTTTTGATTTTAAGAAAGGTTTGTGTGAAAAAAAAAATTGAAGTATTTTTAAAAATTTTAACAAAATATTTGTAAGGGTGTTAAAAAATTAAATTAATGTATATATTTTAAAAATAAAAAATTTATATATTTTTAGCAAACAAAAGTGGTGTTATTACAAATACGATACACACCCGCACACGATTCATGAAGATGGTGGTAGCCACGAGTCAATATTTACGTGGGTCCGCCTGCTGTCTCCCCATGATAGCACATGGAGTTTTTATGTGCGGTGGTCACTTTGCACTTTACCAACTTCAACAACTACGCCCTTCAGCATTATTCTTTTTTGGACTTTCAAAAAGAAAAGAGTTTAGTAAAATATAAATAATTATTATGATTGCGACCATGATTTTCGTAAATCATAACATATACTTTCTTTATTTAAAAATATAAAGTATTTTTAATTGAATTTTACTCTCAATAAAATAATTATCTACTTTCAAACTAACCTTATTTTTTCATATTTATCCCTATT